TTGTTTTCTCCTTGGTAGATTGAGAGAGGTTGTAATTCCTATTTTCTCATAGTGAAATTCTTCTATCGTTGCCCGTGGTTTTTACCCTAATTTTTTAGGGGTTTTCCACGTAAATTTTGTGTCTCTTTTATCTTCATTTTTATTTTCTCAAATTATATGTTGCGATTTTGCTCTATCCGATAGCCGTCTTCCGCAACACCCATGCTGTGGCAATGCTTGAAAGTGATCATGTCGTGGCAATGCTTGAATAAGCACGGTAACCTCAATTTCCTTCTCCTGTTTATCTTATGAATCTAAAAAATTTGTCTTGGAATGTTCAGGCATGTGGGCACTTTAGATTTATTCTCGCAGTCAAACAATTCTTGCGTGATTTTCATCTGAATTTGGTTTTATTTGTGGAACCTCGTATCAGTGGCAGTAAAGCAGATTCAGTTAGTGCGTTTATTGGATTTTAAAATTCCCATCGCATTGAGGCCATGGGGTTTTCCGGTGGTATTTGGTTAGCTTGGTATGATACGATTTCGGTGGAGGTTATTTTTAATCACACTCAATTTATCCATTGTCTTATCACCTCCAAGCAGAGTGGAAATTCTTTCTATGCTACTGTCGTCTATGCTATCCCTTCGGGATCGGGTCGTAAGATTTTATGGCCTCATTTGAAATATATAGTTGTTTTCATGCGATCGCTTTGGATCATTTTCGGGGACTTTAACGCTACAATCACTGCTTCTATCCCATTACCATTTCGATTCGCGCATTCCACAATTTAATCTTTGACTATGGTTTAAGAGATATAGGTTATTCTGGGCCGAATTTTACTTAGTCGAGAGGTCTCGCCACACTCGTTTGGATCGATTCATATGTAATTCTTATTGTGATGAAGACTATCCAGAATCTATTGTTCATCAGCATCTTCTCCGTCTTCGTTATGACCATAGGCCAATTCTTTTGCAAGTGGGTCACTCTCCTAGGAGAAATAACTATAACCCTTTTTCGCTACATCTATGCATGGCATTCTCACGAAGATTTCAGTAGGATGATCTCAGAAAACTGGAACTTCTCTTTTTGCATGACGGATACCTTATCCAATTTCATTTCGGCAGCGGACAATTGGAACAAATCTGTCTTTGGTTTTATTGGAGTTAAAAAACGCACCCTCATGGCTCGTATCCGTGGTATTCAGAAGGCCACTCAAGCTCGTTCTTCAGCTTATCTCTCCAAGTTGGAATCTGATCTTCTTATCGAGCTTGAAATTTTACTTGACCAAGAAGAGGTTATTTGGATGCAGAAGTCCCGATTGGATCGAGTTTTGCTTGGTGACCGCAACACCAAATATTTTCATCGGCGAGATATTGGCAGGAAACAAAGAAATAGAATTTCATCCCTAAAAATTGATGATGGTGATTGGTGCAACGATGATACAACCCTTAAAGAGGTTGCGATAAATTTCTTTACCAATATTTTCACTGGCGATTCCAACAATGCCGGACCGTTTCCGATTTCGGGTGTTTTCCCCTTTCTTGATCCTACCCTTTTTATGACCCTGGACTCGGTCTCTTCTCCTCAATAGATTCATGACGCTCTTAAGGACATGGCTCCTCTAAAATCATTTGTTGGGATGGGTTACATGCGGAGTTCATTCAGAAGCAATGGGGGATTCTGGGTCCGTCTGTTTGCAGAATAATCCAAAGAATATTCGGTGGCATTCCTTTAGAGCGGGCTCTGAATAACACCATTATTGTCCTTATTCCGAAGAGGGACCATCCCAAATCTTTCGCCAACTTTCGACCTATCAGTTTGTGTATGGTTATTTACAAACTGATATCCAAAATTTTTGTTCGTCGGCTAAAGCCTTTATTCCCTTTGCTGATTCGAGATAATCAAACCAGTTTCATCACCGGTAGGTCTGTTATGGAGAACATTATTGTTAATCAGGAGGTCATCCAGTCTATGCGTTCCTTAAAGACTAAGAAGGGTTGGATGACAATTAAAGTTGATTTGGAGAAGGCATTCGACAGGCTTGAATGGAACTTTATCGCCGGTACCCTTCTGGACGCTGGACTGCCCTCGGGCATTCGCCGCATTATCATGGATAATATTACTTCCACTAGTTTTCAGCTTTAGTGGAATGGTTCTCTATCTCAGCCTTTCCGTCCTCATAGAGGCATCAGACAAGGTGAACCTTTATCACCTTATGTTTTTGTCTTTGCGATGGAACGTTTAGGGCATCTGATTAATTTTTCCGTCTCTACGGAAGATTGGGAACCTTTCAGATTTGTGAAGAATGGCAGCCCACTATCTCATCTGTTCTTTGCAGATGACCTTATTCTCTATTCTCGTGCAGTCATGACCCATGCAAAAATCATTAAGGACACTCTCACAGTTTTTGGAAATTCATCTGGCCATCACGTTAATGCAAGAAAACTAATATATTTTTCTCCCCCAACACGTATCCTTCGATTCGTTCTGATATTAGTAATTTTCTTGGGTTTCAGGAGCTTGATTGCCTTGGAAAATACTTGGGGATTCTAGTCTTACACAGGAGAACCAAATGCTCAAATTATGATTTTATTCTTGACAAAATACGTAATCGTATTTCAGGATGGGCTGCTCGCTTTCTTACTATGGCTGGTCGTATTGTTCTTGCCAATTCAACCCTTTTAGCTATTCTGGTTTATTTTATGCAGCCTACAATGCTTCCCAAGAGAGTTTGTCTTGATATTGAAAAACTTGTCCGTAAATTCATTTGGGGCTCTTCTATTGAAACCCCCAAAATGTCATTGGTTAATTGGGAAATTCTTTATCAGCCTCGAGATCACGGGGTCTTGGTTTAAGGAAGGTCAATGAGTTTAACGTAGCTTTTATTCTCAAAATTGGTTTTGCTTTGATTACCAACGCTAATTCTCTTTGGACTCGTCTCTTGCACGAAAAATACATGATGGTTAACCGATGTCCGGATTCAATTTCGAGAACCAACTGTACCCCCCTCTAGCGAGCTTTAGCAAAGTTATGGAAGGATCTCCAAGCGGGGATATCTTGGTCTGTACATAATGGCATCTCTATTCGACCTATCAAAGATATTTAGGTACCTTCGCTCGGCTTGTTGAGCGAGCGTGAGGTGAATGCTGAATTCCTTTTCCTGGATTTCTCTATTATGGATTTCACTAATAATCGTGGGGAATGGGATTATGGTAAACTCTCTCGGACTTTTACTAATGACCAACTTGGAGAGGTGCCGCCGATCTATAGTGTCTTCCCTCTTTTGCGTGTTTTGTTCTTCAGTTGAAGAATCTTCGATTCACATCCTGCATGATTGTAGAGGCATGGGTTATATGGCACCGTCTGCTCCGGCCTAATCTCCTACATTCTTTCTTTAACATGTCTTTGCATGAATTAATGGTTTCGGGATTGTCTCCTATCAAACGTTATTGTTACAAGCTAGAAGCTTCCTTGGCCAACTCTTTTCTCGTCAATAATCTAGCAGCTCTTAAATGCGAGGAATGATTACGTCTTAAACATCTCGAAAGTCTCCACTGTCGGCATCTTAAGAAAATGGATTACTTGGGCCATGTATTATCATGGTAGTCATGTACCTCCGATATCTCCTGTTGCACTTCAACAACCCGCCAAATGGATGAGACCGAACCCAGGATGGCTTTGCTTGAATGTCGATGTTGCCATCTCTTCAACGACAGGTATAAGCTCAGTTGGTGGCCATTTTTGGGATCACAGAGGTACTTGGATCTCCGGCTTTCAGAAATCTATTGGGATAGTTTCTACAATTCAAGTCGAACCTTGGGCGATTCTCATTGGTCTTCAGTGTGACCAAAAGGAAGGTTTTGAAATGGTTCAGATTCAATCTGGTTGTGCTAAAGCTGTTGACATGGTGAATAATCCGAATGCGAGTCGTAACCCCCTATCTCTAGTTCGACTCATTGATGCTATTAGATGTAGCGCTAGGGCTACAAACGTTGTTTGGACCCCTCGAGAATGCAATAAACCAGCAGACTACCTTGCCAGAACTGCTACGCCTCATTCCCTGGAGCTGATTTGCCTATCCCTCCCTCCAGCCGAAGTGATCTCCCTGTTGGAACAAGACTCCGTTGCTGCTCCTTTGTTGCAATAGTTTTGTAGCTTCCACTTTTCAATTTAAAAAAAAAAAACAATAGTACTAGATTTACTATTGTTTTTAATTTGATTATTTTAAGTTTCAATATTTTAACTAAAATACATAAATTAAACAAATTAGAATATAAGTGCTAAATTACAACTTTATATATAACAGGGACTAACAACAGAATTTGACCTATTACTTATCCTGTGATGAAACTGTAGTTGTTTCAAGATCAAAGGAGATTCATCGAATGCGCCAATGTGCCTACCACCCACTTATCTATCTGATTTGAAAGTTACATGAAACGAAACGGGGCATCAACTGAAACTTCCTTCCCAACTTCCCTTCTAAATCCGATCAAATAATCATTTTTTATCGATATGTTATTTTTTTTATTTTACCTTCAAAACAAATAATAATTCGCATCAGATAATGTCATGCATACTTCATTATGATACATCAAGGTCGATCTGTTCGATTTGTAGTAACATCCATAGTTTACTGATTCGATAACGTTAATTAAATCAATAAAATAACCGATAACTAATTCAATCGACTAATATATTCGATTCTGCTTTTATCAGTATTATTGTTGGATGTATCATTATCAATACATCAAATGTGTTTCCTATTTTGCAATATTGCTTTAAAGTTTGAGCTTTAAACAATATTTATGACTTAATTCGAAATTTCGAATGTCATAACTAGCAATTAGAGACGACTATCTATAAACAATCCGTGTGCAATTCCTGGAAGTACGGCCAAATTTGGAACGGTGAGCGCATAACAATTAACAACCAGAAACAAGCATTAAGAATCACGAATGTAGAGCTGAATCGATCTAAGTATCTCGATTGATCGAATTCATCTTATTACAATACATAATATTATGTTATATCCACCCTACCTATCCGGGTTTTTTTTTTCCGCCGACGTTTATGTCGGCAATCATCCCCACACACTGCATATTATAGATAATAAGATTCTATGAACGAGGAAACAGAAATGAAAAGCCTTCTTTTTTACATATTACATGCCCTTCCGAAAGCACTACAAGTCTATTACTAGGAGAATGTTATTCAATTCTGAGCATACAAGAGCTCACTCTGGCCGGTCTCTAAGCTCAAGGGAAGCAATTTCTTTCACAACTTGAGCCTTGTCTGCCTCAAACTGTTCATCCTCTGCACGACATGATAATCCATCAACGCTCCAAACTATAAATAAGAAGTGCTGAGCCTAAATTTTTTCTCAACCAAAAGTAATGTTACATGTGTTTCTTATTCGCACCTTTATCGGTCTTGAAATCCGCAAACAAACGTAGAAGCTTGCTTTTATTTGCAACCAGTATGCTAACAATGTCTGGAGGCTTGTTCTGGTTTGCAGCAAACAACTGTCGAGACATACACAAAAGGGTATTGTAAGCAACTTAATGTATCAAGTGTGAAATGACCATCCAGCTCAGTTGGTAGAGTACAAGGCTATTAACCTTGGGGTGTGGGATCGAGTCCTACGGAGGGCATTTCATAATTTGGAGGTCTCCTACGGAAGCTACTCTTAACCTGGTGTTGGGGGCAGCCTATTATCCTACCTCCCCCTTACCCCATTATATATGGGCAAAAGGGTCAGCTAATTTTTTAATGTATCAAGTGTGCCCCGGAGTAGAAGAAATTTAGCACCGTACCTTGAAAACATGAAAAGCTTCTATTTGGATGCTCTTGCTCGATTCCTGTGTATACGGAATTCACCGTTTAGTACTTAAACATTGTAGTTGATCTTTTTACTTGAATAGGAATATCTCAGAAGTTGCAGCTACTTGCACAATCATATATTTGTTAATATCTGCCGCAAATTTTTTACAATAGTTGATAGCGTGTCATTCTGAGAGCTATTTCATGTAGGATGGTATAATAGAATAACATCCAACACATCAGACTCTTAGAAAGTTTGATCGTTCCATAGTAATGAGGGATAAAGAAAAACAAAAGCAAGACCGAGAAGTTTCATACCCTTAGAAGATTCATGAGAATCCTTAAATTATCCCTTGAGCTCACGTATCTGGTCATGACTGCAGAATTTGACCGGTCCAACAAAATATCTCCCAACAACTGTGGCATTAAGAAGAGGAAATATAAAATATGGCAGGTCTCCTTAGCAAAGAAAATTATAACTGCAATTGCTACTGCCATATATTATTCAGTAAATTTTAGAAATAAAACAGCCATCATACTACTATGATTTCAACATTTAAAATCGGAACTTCAATTTGATTGAGTTATCAAATCTAAACCAGCACTTTTGGTCATTCCTCTCTTAGCAAACTATTGATAAGCAAATGAACCCTTTGGCAATACTAATGTGAAGTCAAGCATGTTTAGATGCACCAAGCTTTTGTTTTGATTGGGGGAAAATTGAAGTAATACTCGTTTTCTTTTTAATTTTTGAAAGGGTCGTACCTTGATTGCTTGTCTTCTAGTAATATAGTTGCTAGATTCCAGCAACTTTGAGTTATATTCTGCAAAGAACTGAAACAACAAACACGGCTGAGTTCATTGAGATCCAACGAATAAAAACTTTCAACGTAAAAGAGGCATGGAGATGAAATTCAGAGAATTCTATCGTAGCTATCTTTAGCATCATTACAAATTAAAACCTTGTGATTGGAAACATCTAGTCAAACATGGAAGATAATAATGTGCTTCTAATGGAAACAATTTACAAGCTCTACCAATAATTATGAGCTGACATGATTGTTCAAGTATAAAATAACAAAATCACAATTTAAAGGACAACGGTACTGGAGGAACAACACTTACCCAGTCATAGTTCCTAGAAAGAAACTCAGCCACAGTGGACTTATGCCTTGTCAAGAGCTCCTGCAAGAAAACATGATGTTACATGACATGACATCAGAATTTTACACACTATTTTTAAAATTATGAAGAAAGGAGGAAGACGGGGAACTTCATGCCATGATGACTCAACTTCAAACAAAACAACTTTTCTTGATGTACTGAAAATGAAAAGACCTCCGTTTCAACAATATAAGATTGAAAAGGAATCAGATCCCAACTTCAAAACAGGTTGTTCTGAAACAGGATTCAAGTGCAAATGCAGATTCAGAAGTGCAACAAGAAAATACAGACAGAAACTGAGAGAAGAAAGAAAGATTATTTTAACATATAATTAGATCTGCAGTTATCAACCTTAAAAGTTGCAGCAGCATCAGCAGAAATATCGAAATTTGGAAGTTGTATATAGTCAAAAAATTTCTTCACGTGCTGTGACTCCAAAACATATCTGCAAAAGAAATGGCAAAACGTGCCACAATCAGGTATTAGTATATCAGAAAATCTTCAATTATTTTGAATTTTTTTACTAAAAAATGTAGGAGATGAGGCTCCCAAATAAAAAATGTAACTAAAAAGGAAAAGCTTTTAAATGTAAGTAATGGACAAGATTGCCTCGAGTACTAACATTTTGAAAACATTGGCGGATTAGATAGAGGAAGTAGAAATGACTTAGGGCATCATTATATTCACTAAAAGGTTAAGAAGCCAAGTCATTAAGGTATGAATTAACTAGGTTGATGACTATGCAAACCTTGCAACAGTCTGATGCCTTATGCATTCTCTCAACATTGCACCATAATGCAAAGCCATGTCTGTGTTCTCATAACTGAAAATACAACACTTAAGACTTAGAAGATAGTAATAAAATAATAGACACAAAATAAAGCTCAATTTGACAGCATAACCAAAAGGCAGCGTTATTAGATATCATATATGATATAGAATTCTAGCTTCATTATAAACCAGGCAAATGTTTGGAACACATGTGATTTGGTTAATAAGTAGAATCCCTGAACAGAAATACCTCCAAATTTGCTTTTGCTTAATCAGAGAATAAAACAGAATACTGGAAAGTGAAAACCATCATTAACTCATAATCTTAGCTCTAGCATTATGTTGATGAAACTCAACAACAAAGAGACAAAGATACAAGGAGCTATTAAAATCACATTGAACTCTTTAACACCAAGAAAATAAAAAAAATTGTAACAGAAGATCTTAACATCTGTAAATCTTTTCAGATTGCCACTTACCCTGCTATTAAAACATCCATGAGATCGATGTTCGATTCCAAGTAATCAGAAGCAATCAACCGTGAATTCACTTGTTGCCTTTGCAAATTTGCAACAACTTGAGTTGCATCTTTCCTCGCCTGCAAAAAGGATATTCCTCTCGAATTATCAAAGTTCAAAGAAGCAACAATTAAAATAAGCTCACAACAGTGCTGCAATAATAACTCACGCTATGGTAAATTTGGTTATCAAAACCAAATCATAGTAAGTATTACCTCTAAGTTCAATTTAGGAAGACAAGTGATCAACAGTCGTAGCGTGTTCTCTCTGAAGAACTCTTGAGTCAGTTGTTGACAAGCTTCTGAGACTGGCTCGGATTCACTATTTCCATAAAGAATACACTTTAACTCCCTTATATGTTTAAATAAGTCCGCCATCTGCATCAAAATTACCACCAATTTTAAATATTGGATACTGAATTTTCATGTTCCTTTCAGTAAATAAAAAATAGCTGCTCAAATTCTGGAAAAAAAAAAGTTCTCGCTTATCATCAAATGCTCACGCCAATTGAATTCAAGAATAATTAATGTGTTATTCGTGAAGGAGTATCAGAAAACTCACCTTCTCTTCCCGCTTACCATCACGACTGTCGGCGAAGCGGCCGGCATAGATGAGCAGATCGCGCGTTTGCCGCACGATATCAACGGGAGTTCGCGGCTTGGATTTGAAGAGTCCTTTCATCTCAGCTCAATGACTTAGTGAGGTTTCCAGTAGCACCGCAGGTTACCGGAGCTTCCACTCGCCGCACCGCTCGATTCGGCAAACAAAGTCTAATTTTTTTTTTCAAAAAAAATCTCTCGCAACTTCTATTATCTCTTTAATTTTGGATACTTTTTACTATATCATCCAATAGTTTAACTAAGCTTTGGGATTTCCTTTCAATATGAGTCACCCGTCGTTGGTGGTTAGTGTGCTTTTTTATTTTAGTGTAAACTATACAAATGGTCACTAAAGTTTAATTAAGTTTTATTTTTTTATTTTAGTTTCAAAAGTAATAATTTGGTCATTAACGTTATCAATTTATAACAAAATGATTATTAACGTTATCGTCTTATCGATTTGTAACAAAACGATTACTCCACCATTATCTCCGTTAAATTGATGAAGTGGTAACATTAAAAGAAAGTTAATACTTAATTTCACCCTTAAACTACTACTAAAACATAAAATATGTCCTTAAACAATGATTTTATATCTAGTATTCCCTAAAATTTTATAATTTTCAAAAATTTATAATTATACTTGAATAAATTTTTAAAAATAAAAATATTAAAATTATAAAAATTAAGAATTAAAATACCTAAAAATGACAAGTTTATAAAAAAATAAATACTAAATATATTTGTATTATTTAAAATAATATTATTATAAATAATAAAAATTAAGGTTAAATATAATAATAAATATTTATTTAATATTTATTTTAAAAAATAGAAAGTTTTAAGAGTAAATTAGATATAAAATCATTGTTCAAGAACCTATTTGATGTTTTAGCGATAATTTAGGGGTGAAACTAAATATTAACCTTTTTATTAATGTCGTCATAGCAATAATGCAATAAAGATGATAGTGGAGTGACTATTTTGTTATAAATTGATAATATTAGTGAGCATTTTGATATAAATCAATAATATTAGTGACTAATTTGTTATTTTAAAACTTTAGTGGCGTACAGAAACATATTCAAATACTATTGGCCATTCTTTTAATTTTACCCTTTAGTTTATGTGCTGCTTGGCTTTGCCTGCAGACTTGGTAGGTTCGGATGAGATATAGTTTCGTGCGGACTGTCGTAGTATAAGACGACATCACGTTTCCGCTAAAGCCTATTATACATGGACACGGAAAAAGTATAGTTGAATTGTGGGACCTATTTCTGATTTGACTCCGGCACTTTGTTCCTTGAATTGGACGATGGGTTTTCTATCAAAATCAACAAGACTTATCGTCGTAAGTTATTTTACTAAAAAAATATGGATAATGTAGGTCAAAATTTAAATAAGGGTAAACTACATATTTTGTCACTAATATTTAATAGGGTTTCGTTTCTCACACTGAAATTACAAAAGTAATAAATCAATCAATAACGTTATCAATTAGTTACAAACACTCAACGTTAACAGCCGTTACCAAGCGTTGTTAAAAACACAGTTGACGTGTTAATTGATTACATGGATGGGTTGCCCGCCACATTGAAAAATAAATAAAATCACTTTGACCAGCAATTGAACTAATATGTAATGAATATTTAACTGATTAATAAATAAGGGGGAAACAAAAAGTTATGAACACTACTTTTAAGATTATACTGACGAAACTAGTCATAAAAAAGGGGGAAACGAAAAGTTCCAATGCATAAACGCTTTCTTCTTCCACTCGTCTAAGAAAATTAGTCTAGAGAGAGTCTGAGAGGAAACTAGTCAAAAAAAAATAGAATCGTTTGGGAAAAAGGGAGAAAAACCGAGGGTCCGAGTGATTAAAAACAAAGAAACAATGAATACTTTGATTTAACGAGCAAAGTATCGAGAAAAAAACCAAGTTTTAAGGGGAGATGGTACTTACATGGAGATACGGCAAAGGGGACAATGATATGCTTTACGGTAAGCTTCTTTTGGGTTTGATAGAAAAAATAAATAAAACCTAAGTTTTAACAAAAAAGAATATTAGGTTTATCTGCAGTTTTGTTATGGAAAATTCATATGACAGTTGAGGTTTTAGTGATTTTGATATCACTATATCAAAAGGGTTCTGTAACGGCGTTTTTAGCAGCGTTTGGAGAGTAAACGTCACAATATTTTGAAATATAGCGGCGTTTATAATCCAAACGCCGCCAAATGATAATATAGCATCATTTTTTCAAAAAATGCCGCAATAGAGTGGTAATTTAGCGGCGTTTATGGCAGAAACGTCAGTATAGAGTATTTATAGTGGTGTTTTATCAACAAACGCCGCAAAAGAGTAGTCATTTAACAGCGTTTGTATAAAAACGCCGCTATTGAGTATTAATGGTGCGACGTTTTTTGATAAACGCCGCAATATGGTTGTTTTTAGTGGCGTTTTATGTACAAACGTTGCAATATAGTGGACATATAGTGGCGTTTTAATAAGAAACGCCGTAATAGAGAAGAATTTTTACGGCGTTTTAGGCCAAACGCCACAATATAACGGTAATTTAGCGGCGTTTATACCTCAAACGCCGCAATAATTAATACTTTAGCGTCATTTTTAGATAAATGCCACAATAGTATTAATCAATAGTGGTGTTTTTTTATAAACGTAGCAAAAGTATGTGATATAGTGGCGTTTTTTTAAAAATGTCGCAAAATGTTAAATATATGGTCCTTCTTTTCTCTTACCTGAACCCTAAAATCATTTCAACTCTTCTTCCCTCAAACATTCTTCTCTGGTACAACAACAGGCTGAGTACGATTCCAAGTGACGTCGTCTTTTGAATGTCCCGACGACCAAATCTGCCCTCTGATCGATGAACTATAACACAATTGCACGGTTTGATCCCTCTTAAATTAATGATATTTTTCATTTTTGTTTTTGTGGGTATTCTGAAAATGGGGAAAACCCAGAAAGCTAACGTATTGGAAAATAAAGGAGCAGGTGTTGCCTTGAGGAAGAGAAATTATCGTAGGAATGTCTACGTTGCGTCTTTATTCTGACGATGGATCAAATTATCGTTGGGAGGCTATCGGTCCGATCTCGCCGTCAAAACTCGATGATGACCCGAAAGGAACTTCTATTGCTCCATACCCTTCCATGGTCGATCTCCTACTTGAAGGTAATAATCTATGGCGTTTTAGAGAAAATCCCCGTTAAACATCACCTATTGCGGCGTTTGTCTTAAAAATGCTGCTAAATATCAACACCTATTGTGGCGTTTTTCTGACAAACGCCACTAAATATCAACACCTATTGCGGCGTTTGTCACACAAACGCCGCTAAATATCAATACCTATTGCGGTGTTTTTTGTTAAAAAACGTCGCGAACTTTAGCGGTGCTATTTTCAACAGCGGTTTTCGCGGCGTTTGTCTTAACAACGCATGTGTTTTTAGCGGCGCTTATAAACGCCGTTAAAGGTAAAAAAAAACGTCGCAAAAGCCTGTTTTGATGTAGTGTATGTTGTTGATTTTCTGAAATATGAACCTTTTGTATATTAATGCATGCATGCTCTGTTAACAAAATGATATTCTCTGTTAATAAAATGTTTAGTAGAATGTATGTTGAGGTTTTAGGGTTTTTGTTTATGGTATTTGTTTAAGGCGCATGTGATATGCAATTATTAATTTATGATAAGCATTTGTGATATGCAATTGTAAATTTGTGATATGTTGATCTTATGATTGTTTGTATGTTTGATATGTTATTAGAAAATTTGTTGAGAGTGCTTTTATCTGAAAATTTGTTGAATATTGACACAAAACTTGCCCAAGATACTATGGGAGGATCCATCCAAAGAAAAAAGAGACTTTTTTGTCATCATCTTCTCATAGTTTCGACAATCAAAGAACTTCCTCCCACGGTTTTCATTAGTCCAAGCAGTGGCCACCTTAACTGGGAATCCACAATTGCAAAGCGAAACATCTATAAAGTCTTCTATCTTCACGGGATTTCTCTTACAATTTATAGACAATTTTTAAAGAATATATATGAATGAAAAATATTAATTTAAGTTTAGGGATTGAGATTTTTTTTAAAGGAGAATATATGGCTTCCCAATGTGGTGGTTAACCCAGTCAACCCTATCCATGTAGGCAGTTAACACGCTAACTGTGTTTTTCATCATGCCTGTTAACAACAATTAACGTTGAGTGGTCATTTTGTAACTAATCTATAACGTTAGTGATAGATTTTTTATTTTTGAAACTTCAGTGGGGAAAATGAAAACTTACTCAAATATTAGTGGCCAACTGTGTAGTTTACCCTTTAAATAATTGTTTTATTTCTTAAATTTTTAAAAGATACAAAATAATTATTATATTATTTTTATTTTATTTTTAACTTTTTTTATATTAATCATGAATACTTTCATTTATTCATTCAATGATTTAAATAAAGATTAATCTTATCATGCTTAAGATTTTATTACTCTCTATCGCTGTAACGCCAACATCTTATTTTCAATATTATTAATCAGATTAACCTTGGGCAGGTTCAAAGAAGGCAAGCTTCTTGTAACCTTCCCATGCCTTCTCGTAAACAATAGCACGGTATAGATTGGTAGCGGTTCCGTCCGTGGCCTTCAACAACAACCGATAATTCTTCCCGGAAACCACCTGTGTGGCGCCTCTCACCACTGCCACCAACTCCAAATTTATTTTCGACCGCATGTTATTTTCGCTAACAGCGAATTTCGCGATCTGGATCACGTGCTGATCGTTGACATTCTTTATAGGTGTCCATCCGACCGCCGGATATTTTTCGACATCGGCCCGAATAAGAGAAAGGGAAAAGAGAGACAACAAGAGGATAAGGAAATGTCGCAAGTGCTGCTTGGCGTTGTTGTTTCCGTTGAAGTCTGTTATTTGGGTGTTGGGATTTTATAATTGGAATTGGATTTTGGCATTTATTAGTGAATCATCACTAATTAAGTCTGGATTTGATGTAAGGTACGTGGAAAACGAGCACATATGCGTTAGAAATAAATTAGATTTTATTTGTACGATCTTATATGAGGCGATTAAGTTTGACAATTTATCAAACTTGGTCTCTTAACTTGTTTTCTAGTCTACACTATTCCTTAAATTTAATAATTCTTTCTATTTGCGATACGTGATGTATTTCTGGGACTTTTGATTCATGAAATGAAAGATTAATTTTAAAAACAAAATTATTGGAATGTAATATTACTTTGGGAATATTGTATTATCTTGTTTGATTTGTTTAGTAGGAATGTAAGATTACAATGTTTGATTGGAGGAATATACGATTACTTAAATGCATATTTTACCAAATTATCATTGTGATATATGTTTTATTCCAACCCGTTAAACTTTAATATTAAATTATAAATATCTAAATGAAAATTCATAGAAATAGTTTAATCGTTACACAATCTAGTTTTTGAAAAAAAAAATATTTAATATATAATTAATATATTACAATTATATTTTTAAATAATTTTTATAAGTATTAATTTTTATATAAAATATAATTTAAAAAATAATATTATGATCTTGAGTAAAAAAATATTATTTTTCAATATATACCATTCATTTTTAGTAACTCAAAACTAAATATTATTTTAATAAATTATATTTTTATCATAATATTATTTTTTACCTCATAAAATTATAATTAATATATTGAATATTAAAATTAAAAAATAAATTTAATTATTCAAATTTATTATATTTTACTAAATCAAACTTTTGTATATTATTATTATGTTTATAGTTTTAAATAAAACACAATTAATAAAATTTGAAAATGATCATCATAAAAAAAGTCCACTAATTTAGAAGTATTTTTGCCCAAAAAATAGAAGGTAATGACATTCTTAGGAATGGGTCGAATTTTCGATCCATCCGACCCGACTCAAAAAATTTAAATCCTCTACTCAAATTTGATCATATTTTTTGAGATAAAATTTGAATCCGACCCATCTCAATCCAAAATAATATATTTTATTAAAACAATTATTTTTATTCAATAAAAATATGGATTTAATTAAAATAAAATAATATATAAAATGATATTATTACAATTACCTTTAAATATATAAGGTAAAGTTACAATTTTTTTGGATTGAGTATTTTCACCATAAACCTAAACTTTACCCGGCCCAAACAAAACTTTAAAAAAATCCAACCCGACCTGAACTCGATTTAAAAAAAAAAATCGACTCGATCAGGTCGGAACCCATCGAGTTCAGGTTCCATGCCCATCCCTAGACATTCCCATAATTTTATCAAAATAAAAATGCTATTATTGAAAAAAAGATTATTCTTTAATAAAAAAAATTTCGTGAATCAAATATGAAATATAATTTCGAAAAGACTATTCCTGATAATGATTTCTTTCGCAAACCAAACGGACCTGAGGATCATTTGATATTTACATGGTCAAGGACTCAAGATAATAATCAAAATGTAAATAAGAATTATTCAACTTTAAAACCAACTTATGATGTATTAAGGAAATGTGAACTGGTCGGGCTAGCCAGCCGGCCGACCAAAGATTCAACATAAAATTACTGAGAGCAAAAAATTAGGAAGCTGGAAAATCTCTTCTTGCTTCTCGTTGAACTGGAATATAAACCAAAGCCCACCCTTGTTTCTAAAGGTGTTTCATCTTTTACAGTTCAGTGAGCTCGTAAGATGAACACTTCGATCGAGCCACCCCCTTTGGACAGTTGTTTATCACGCTCTTAATGTTCAGCTGACAAGTTTTTTCAACACTGCTTCAGCTCGGTGCTCGAATTTAGGGAGTGCCCATTCATGTTGGACTATGTCAAGACCATCTTTCTCAGCACTCAAGCTCTGCCATGAATGAAGAAAATCAAATGATTAGGGAGGCATGCTAGGTCAAGAATTGGAAATAGTCAACTCAGATGAATATTTGCTTGTAGCTGAGAAACAAAGCAAAGTTTGTTTCACTGGAAACTTTTCTCGGATGCTTTACAAATTTAAACGATACATAAACCAACTAAAACGATAATACCTTCGATGAGTTGATCTCTCATCGAACTAAAAGTTCCATGCAATTTTCATCATTTTGTAATTGATTTGACCTTATAGGAGATCAAATTGACTTAATACCTTTGATGGATCAAAGCCAAACCCACTCATCTGCATCATTCGCTGTGTATCATCCGTTGCTGCCAAAAGAAATCACAATTTACAAATGAAACCCTACAGATAGATAACTAATCCAATAACCAGACGAACTGAATAAATAATAAAACTACGTGACAGGAAGTTCATGATCAGATACCAACCATTTTCCTCTCCCAGAATCAGACTAAATAAACCCCTCAAACCAAATAAATTGAGGAAATACCTGGAAGTGACAGAGTTTGTGAATAAATAGTAGTATCAAGCGAAGAAAGCCTCTATAAAAAGAGCCCAGAGAAGGAAAAAAAATACCATGAGCGGCTACTGACATAGCTCACATCAACTGTGCTAAGGTCAATTCCATTCTGCAACATTGATCTGAACCTCTGAGTTAATGGGAAAGGTATTTTGGCTGCAATATAGGAATACAGAAAAGTAAAAGACAAATCACATTACCATTTACTAATAGTACATAACGGGATCAGTTAAGTTAGAATTTTGATTCCAATACAACAAAAGATTGTGCCCATCACCGTGTCATAAAGAGTGAAAATAAAACAAATCCAATCTAATAGGAAACAGTTAACTTTAGCAAATTCTACAGATGCATGAATCAATTTCGTAAATAGAAATGTAAATTCAATCTTGGGTGTAGAACTAAATGGAAAATACTCAGAAATATTGGAAGTGAAACAGTAGTAAAGAATCAAACCTGCAACAAATCCAGAGAAGAAAAAGTTGACCCAGGCAAAAGTGAGAGTCTGGCAATAACAGTGTACACAAAACAGTCAATTCTAAAACAAGAGCAATCAAACCAAAGCATATGAACAGTAAAGGTCTAAGCATCATAAAAATACCTGAGGTATAATCATAGATAGGTTTTTCTTCATCATGTCCATAGCCATGTTAGGGTCAGAGAACATTTGAGCTTGCAGATTTTGAGCCTGGCCCTTGGGGACAAACAGTAATCCATTTTCCTACAAAGTCCAGAATAAATTCCATTAGTTTCCTTCTTTTCTGAGACAAATACATACATAAATGGGTCGTTTTTATCAATTTAACCCAACTTTTAACAACTCATTAAGTTTAATATTAGCTCCAATTCACAACTTCTTGATAAATTGCAATTTTCTTCGTAAACAGAAACTAAATTGACAGAAGCCTGATCACAACATGTGATACTTTAGTTTTCTCCCTTTGGGGACAAATACAAACATAAATGCACTATTTTCATCAATTTAACTAGACTTTTAACACTCCATTAAGCTTAATATTAGCTCCAATTCACACATTCCTGATTAATTGAAATTTCTTCCTAAACAGAAACTAAACTGAAGCCTGATTACAACATGTGATACTTCAATTTTCTCCTTTTCTAAGACAATATATAAAATAGACTCTTTTCATCAATTTAACCAGACTTTTAGATTTAACACTCAATTAAACTTAAAATTAGCTGAAATTCACAGCTTCTTCATTAATTGCAATTTGTTTCTAAAAAAGAAACTAAACTGACCGAAACCTGATTACAATATCTGATACTTAATCACATAATCAGCTAACAGTTCAACAAAGTTTTAAAAAGGAATAAATAAACACCGATTTCAAACATAAACAATTACAAGAATAAATTTTTATCATAGATTTTCTAAAAGAAGAAGAAAAGCAAACCTCATTGCTGAAATAAACCCTACGAGAGCGAAAAGACTTAGGAGTGATAAAATTTGCAGCAGCTCGCAAATTCCGAGCCCTAACGATTACTTGTCTGCAAAATAGAAACTCGAGAATAAGTGAACATGAGACCTATTAGTAAGGTTACCGAAATTAATTTTTTTTTTAAAAATATGAAAAACAGTGTTGTTGTGAGAGACGTGCCCTTCTTTGACGATCTTCGGATCGGGGGTTTGAAAAGAGCGCATGAGCTTGGAGACGAAGTAACGAAGGATGCCGATGAGAACCATTACCACTGAAAGAGGTATCAACACCCAATCTCTGATCGCCGTATCGAGAACTAGATCTTCCGCCATCGTTGAATCCTACTCTGATCTTTGATCCAAAACTTTAGCTTTGTTTCCTGTGTCGTATTGCTTGTGTGTCTTATTATTAAGGGGTAGAGGTGAGTAAAATCGAGTTGAGTTAATATAAACTCTAAAAATTGATTTTTTTTTTTTTAATTTTAAGTTATTCGAGTTGATTTATTCAAGTTAATTCGAATTATAAATTCTATTTTGGAATTGAGTTGAAATTTTGAATTTTTGAATTACTCGAAAAATAAAAAATTTGACCAAGTACTTTGATAATGTTATGATTTAGTATCTGATTTCATTATTTCTTCAATTTTTCCTTCATTTTAAGTTCATTTTTTACCAAATTTGAACCACATGCTTCTAAACCATAGTAGAATACATATGTACTTTCAATTCCTCTTTTTGATAATAAATTTTTTTTTCAATTTAGTCCTTCAATTTATCATAATCTCTTTATTCCTTTAATTCATCATTTATTTTAAGTCCCCTTTTTATCAAATTTGAATTACATGCTCTTAAATCATAGTATAATACATGTGTACTTTTAATTTCTCTTTTTGATAACAAATTTTTTATTTTTCAATTTAGTCCTTCAATTTTTCATAATCTACTTATTCCTTCAATTTGTGATTTATTTTAAGTTGTTTTTACCAAATTTGAACCACATGCACATATACCACAATAGAATACTTATCTAACTTTAATTGTTATTTTTTAACTACAAATATACTATCTTTTTATTTAGTCCCTAAACTTTGTATTTTACTCAATTTGGTCTTTTAACTATAATTGTTTGCAAATTCTTTCTTCTCATCAATTACTTGACTCATTTATGCCCTCATCAATATTTTTCCCTCAAAATACTTTCTTTAAAATATAATGTTATGAATATATTTCATAATTTTAGATTGTATTTGATATATTAAACAACATTATATTATGATAGAATAATATATATATATATATATATTATGGTTAGATAAAGTCAAAAAAATTGGAACAAATCATTATCATAATACTATAAATAATTATAATAAATAAGTACAGAAACTCAAATAACTCGACTCGAATTTCTAAAACTCGACTCAAAAATAATTTAAGTTAAGTTCGAGTTGTAAAATATGACTTATCAACTCAAATAACTCAAAAATTTTTTACTCGACTCGATTGAATGCTCACCCCTCTTTAAGGGTAAATTATAATAGGCTAAACTATGCTAATAGTTTCCTTTATTTTTTGTATGATCGAGTTTAGCATTAATTTAAAAATTAAAGGTAAATGGTCCTAACATTATCGATTTGTTCGATTTAAGTCTCTAACGTTATTAGTCCATCCCGTTTAAGTCTCTCCATCGTTAATTCCCGTTAACCCTTTAACGAAAGTCAAACTCACATGTCTTCTTCTTCCTCCTCCTCCTCCTCCACCTAACCTCCAAAAATTCAAGAATCGTACCGAATTTGAACCACGTTCACCCTACCAAAGCATCAATATAAAATCTGATTAAACTCAAAACTAGGGATGTAAAAGCAGTTAATCGTTCAGGTTTCTGTCAGATCCTATCAGGTCAGATAAAATCGGATACTTGTCATGTCAGGTCAATCTAATGGTCCGACTCGAATCAAGTCGGGTCTAGGTCAGATCAATTCGGGTCATTTTTAGGCTGATTTGATATCATATTCAGTTCGAATTCAAGTCGTGTTAATTTCAGTTCGGATTGATGTCAGTTCAGGTCAAAATGGTTCAGGTCTGAAGCAGTTAAATAACATGTTAATTCAGGTTCGGATGGACTTCAGTCGGATCTCGTTCAGATTGTGTCACATCATTGATAGATAAAATTCAGATAAGATCTTACTGAATATGGACTGACTTCAGGTCGGGTCATTTTTTATTTTTTGATTAATTATTTTTCGTCTTTCATTAACGTTGAATTGCAATTTGTAATTGTATATGATTTGGAGTAAATTACAAAAAATATAAATAATTATGGATCAATTTGGATAAAATATATTTTTAAGGACTAAATTGAACAAACATGAAATTAAAAATATTTAAATAAACTAGACAACACACATTGATGAGGGACCAAATTGAAATAATTTTAAAACGTGAAGTTGAAATTAATATCAAAATGGACTAAATTGTACCCATTTAAAAAGTTATGGGTCAGTTACAAAAATAAAAATAAGTGATAAGTATGGGTCAATTTCAGATGCAAATATAATTTTAAGGATTAAATTGAACAAATATGAAATTACAAATAAAAATTTAAATAAATTAAACAACAAAAGGGATCAAATCAAAATAATTATAAAATGTGAAAAAATTATAAAATAGACTAAATTACATTCATTTTAAAAGTTGAAGAAAAAATTGAAAAAATTATAATATATTAATATATATATATATATATATACATATTATATAATTATATAATATGTATAAACTATATAGTTTATATTTATATACTATGGTATATAAACTATATATGTTATAAATTATATATAAACAATATAGTATATAAACTATATAATTTTTTATATAGTTTATATTTATATATTATGTAAAAATACATATAAACTATATATAAAATTATATATTTATATTTATATACTATGTATAAAACTATATAGTTTATATATATATATATATATATATATATAATATACAATATACTTATGTACTTATATGAGTATATATGTAATTAAGCATATATGATGTATGTACTTATATAGGTGTGCATTTATATATAATGTATGTAAGTATATATTATACTTATGAGTATATATATATATATATATAATATTAGTATATATACAAGTATATTATTTCATACCTCTCCACATAATATTAGTATATATATAAGTATAATCGAGCAGGATGAAATTAATGCAACAAGACATTTCGAATACAACCATCTATGTTTATAATGAGACAAACGAACAATACTTGTTGTACGATTAGTGGAGAACCATTTCGATATCATATTTCAATCCGTCAATAGTAATGTGGAATGCGATATCTAAGTTGTATTTGAAACTAAGCACGATCAAATTTATGCATTTATAGACATCTCCCGATCAGTAAAAGTACTCAATTCATGCGTACTTTGTAGGACTTATGTTTTTGAACTTGAACGTAGCGCCAGAATTCTTAATATTTTGAATTCGAGTATTATAAATAAAGAATAATATTAAAAACATTTTAACTTATGAAATGGATTTTGATCTAATTCAATATGAATTTATTTAAAACTTTTATGATTATCTGATATCGAACATGTGTAAAGTGAAATATAACTGAATAAATGGGATATTTGCACAATTGATGAGATAATTGAATGAAAATATAAGTTGTGTAGAACCAACCCACCCATAATACTGGAAATTATAAGTCTCACATTCACACTAGCGCATTCAGATTAAGCAGTCCTCCAGATTTTCATCGAACGGCTGTTAGTTAAACTCAGAGCCAGCTCACCTCACAGTGTGGACAACATTGCGCGTTATTTGATTATTTTTGCTTGCTTAATTAAGTCCATAAGTCGACAAATCTTGAAGAAGAAATGAACACCCTAGAAAATAGCCATAGTTATTGGAAGAGATAATGCAGGGGAGAAAGCAGCCTACTTTTGCTCTGCCCATGATGCTTCTTCTAATGGTAGTATGGTCGATCAGTTCTCCCGCCGTGGCATGCCCGTCGAAAGGCGACGGCACTGGATGCAAGGACTGCGTCGTTCAGCAGATGAGCTACGGTTGTCCGTCGTGTGTGCCGGTTATCCGTTGCATGACGCGGTGCTTGTGGGGTGGCGCCGCCAGGTCCGACTGTATCAACCACTGTGGCTGTAAAGATGGCAAGCTAACACTTTCTGACTGCAAGAAATGCATGTCGCGGTGCAAATGCAGTTGTGTGGCATGAAAATCGTGCGACACCCGATCCATGTATGTTTAATTTCCTATATCGGTTATGCTTTTTGTATTGAAAAGTGCCGTGTTTCTTGAAGAAGTTGAAGAAGAAATATCTCTATTTCGGATCTGTTTCTTTCTCCCTCCCACTTGTACGGACATAGTTAAAGATATTGCGTGTATATTTTATTCGTAATGTAGAATTAACATTTTTCTCATTTCCAAAGTACAGGATAAAAATGAAATTCTTCCCACAGTATAGGGACTTTGAAAGAACTTTTACCTCTATTTGTTTTTTAATATCTCAAAATACGACTCATTACGTAATTCATGGTCACAATTGATTCGTCTATCTCAAAATAATTATCAAATAAATATTCACTCCTTATTTATATTTTTATATGTATGAAAGAATAAAAATCACTTTTCAAAATAAGATATATAAATTTTATTAATTAGGACTATAAATAAGATTGAAGTCCATCTAATAATTTTTTCAAAATATTACTAATACGTAACAAAACAAGTCTCTCTTTTCGCTTCGCTTTGCCTGTTTGGAAAAGCTTGGGCCTATATTATTTCTCTCCTTAATTTGCTCCCTATGCTCTTATTTCATGCTAGTGATAGTAAACGGGCAGGTCGGGTGTGGATACATTCTCCTCTATTCTTATATACACCTAATATTTTTAAATCAATCATCTGTCCACCATCCATGATGGATAAAATTTTTCAAATTCACACCCACCCACACGGGTACATTCTCAAATCCATCCCCACACCAATTACCTAACTGGAGACATACCCCAACTAGACCCGCCTGATAGCAACCTTAAGTTATACATAAGAAACAAACATAAAACAAACACGTCTATTAAAAAACATAATATTAGTTTCTAAAATTATACCTAATATTTGGTTAAATTATAAGTTATATCTTATACAATAAGATTTATAAATTAGTCTCTAAAATTATACATAAATTCATAATGATCCAAAATTTAACGGGTATTTAGTGGGCGGGCGGATGCGGGGTGAATAAAGTCTCAAACCTATCACTCGTCCACTATCCACGACGGGTATCACTTTCTAAATTCACACCCGCCCATTACCCACTAAAGTTATACCCATCTCTATCCCAATTGAAACGGTTACGGTACGAAATCTACGAAATTATACCAGTTTATCATCCTATTTTATACCTCTCCACATAAGTGTAAGGAAAGATATATACTCAAATTAAAACACATCACATTTAAATATTTTATATTTTATATTTTTAAATTTTTAATATAATTTATTAAATTTACGCCTTTATGTCTTTACTTGTAACGTTATTGTCCTAATCCTCTAACCCTTATCTAACTAGGATGTGGATAATGTTTTTGATCAAAGAAATCGAAATCATTGGACCTCTTTATCATTGTCGAGGTACCACTCGATCAATATCGGCGTACGTCGCAGCCTGACGTGTCGGTCGAATACTAGCGGTAGTGACTAGTGAACTAAAAATAATGAAGGATGAATTATCAATAAATAAATTATGAGAATAATTTCCACGTGGAAGTTACAAAGAAGAGTAGAAATGTAGAATCATGTATACCACGTGGCACCATAGTTTGACAAGGCACTGGTGTAATCTAACACGTGTAAACCTTGTGGAACTTGCAAGGACGCTTATCTCAAACGCCTGGCCTATCCCGCTATAGTCTATTCTTTTATTGAGATATATAATTACAAAAACTACGTGGAAATATATCAGTTTCCGTTTAAAGAAAAAGAAGATTACAGATTCATTAATTCAACAGTACTTGCACGTCAATGCTTTATCACATTGTGTTTAGCCGTTGTACAGTCTGTAACAAATAATTACCTTACTAATCTCCATGATTTTCTCTGAGAATATCTTGAATGACTGCGCGATGACTCGACCGAGTCCGACCTGTCGGATCTCATGATTTGTTCTTTGAGAGTGGTGGTGATTTTGAGGACGAAACCGATGAAACGGCGACGTTTCATCGAGAGCGAGACGTCTCCGATGGTTATTGGTCGGATTCCGAGACGAAAAGTATGTTGCTGGGTTTGCTGCACTACGAAGAAGAGGACGATGTGAAGCAAATGGTTAAGAAAGAGACAGAACATGCATGTGAGATGCCCGTAGGGTGAGGGTTATTTGATGATTTCAAGCGTCGGTTGATGTCTCATCTGCGCGACAAGGGCTTTGATGTTGGTCTGTGCAAGTCCCGGTGGGACTAATTGGACGAAATGTACTCTCGGGAGCCTACGAATACGTAGATGTGTATACCAATGAATCTCAGTACATTGTGGAAGTAAATCTCGTGGCTCAATTCAAAATAGCTCGACCAACAACCAGTTACGCCTCATTACTCGAACTTATCCCACCGATCTTCGTCGGTAAACCCAAAGAGCTGAAGCAGGTCATGAAACTACTGTGCAAAGCAATGAGGGAATCCATGAAAGCCGAAGACATGCACTTGCCGCCGTGGCGGCGAAGCGGCTACATGCAGTCCAAATGGTTCGGTCTTTACAAGCGTACCGTCAATGATGTTCCGGTCCGGCCGACGATATCGTTCCGCTGCAGGGAAGATTTTGCTAGCAAAGATGGGTTCAAAGTTGATATTTAGCTGCTGCCTTTGAACTTTGAAGGCACTAACAAGGCTTACATTTGTTCATATATTAGAATAAGCAATTCAAGTTTTAGAAAAGACTGGATGTTGCTAGTGAGTATCATTTTGTTTATGTTTGTTGATTAGTTCATTTGAATAGTGTAAGCAGGATTGCATTTGTACTGGCTAATGAATTGGGATGATGATAAAAAGAAATCGAAATTCATTGGACCTCTTCGTCAATCGGTGAATATCATCGTTATTCTTCACGTTTCAGACATATCTATCAAACACTACTACAGGTTTTGACTAGTGAAATGACAATTGACAGAATAAATTATAAAAATATAGAGTAAAGTACGCTATAAATTGTTTATATTATGATTAGATTTTTAAAAAATACAATGTTGGGAAGCCGTTATATATTGATAAACCGACAACGATGAAGCAACAGGTTGAGTATGCAAAAATTATGTTGAGGTTAGTGCTAGTTTTTCTCCTCCAATTTCTATAATGGTGGCGTTGGTTGAGGGGAATGTTGTTGATGTTGGTGTGAAATTGGTTTGGTTTCCCTCAAGATGTGGTCACTGTGTTATTTTTGGTCATTTGGAGGAGAAGTGCTAAGCAAAATTTGTTGTTCCCGTGGAGATGGTTAGTGACTTGCCTATGTTGGTTTTGTTTTTAAGGTTAATGTTGTGGGTCAATTGGTTGATGAGGTAGGGCATGCTATTAGTGCTTTTGATGGTGCAACTTCTTTGTGGGTCAATTGGTTGTTGAGCTTGGGACAGGTCAACATGTTGTTGTTTCAGCTTGTGATATAGCTAGTTCGTCGGTTGTTTCTGGTGTGGTTCTTGGAATGGGAGTAAGTGTTGATGGTGTTGTTTTAAGAGGTTATGTGGTGGAAAGTCCAAATATGTTTGATTTGTTATCTATTGATGATGAAAATTCTGTGGTGGTGGATGAATCTCCTCGAAAAAGAATTGTTGCAGGGGGAGTTGCTGAGTTAATGGAGTAGTTGAAGCCAAAAGCTAAGGCTAAAGGTAAATAAGAAAAAGCAGTGGTCCAAGGGTAGGGTGTCCCCTTCTTTAAAATGACGGTGTTTGTTTGGAATGTTAGGGGGTTTAATGATCCCTCAAAATAGAAAAGAGTTATTCGTCTTGTTAAAAAGTTGGATATTGACATTCTCTGAGTTTTGGAAACTAGAGTTCAAGAAGGAAATACTGGCAGTATTGTCTAGAGTAATTTTTAGGGTTGAGATTTCTTACATAATTATATTGATGCTTCGAATGAAAGGATTTGGGTGTTGTATATAGGGGGTTGGCATATTGATGTCTTTGACCAGTAGGAGTAGGTTTTACATTGTTTGTTGAAGAAAATTGATGTTTATTTTTTCTTCTCCTTTGTTTATGGAAGTAGTGACAGGGAGGGAAAAAGGGCTTGAGAAGGGGTTTAGTCTCTATTAAAGATAAGATTGGTAATTGTCATTGGTTGTTGCTGGTGACTTTAATATTTTTAATCGTCCAAATAAGAGTTCTGATTTCGATGGAAGTCAAGGGATTACTGGAGCAATGCAATAATTTTTGGATTGTCAGGAGAGCATTGATGTGGTTGATCATCTTTTTAATGGTTCTTTGTTTATTTGGTGTAACGGAAGAGAGGAGGCTTCTTTATCTAGAAAGCTTGATAGATTGTTGGTGAATCAAGCTTGGTTTTGTTACTTTCCTAAGGCAACTGTGGAGTTTTTATCACCAGACTGTTCGGATCAATTCCCTTGTCATCTTGTTTTGGAAGTTGCTATGTTTAAGCCTCTTAAACCTTTCAAATTCTTTGGTGTTTTGGTGGACCATCCAGAATTCTTTATTATTGATGAGGAGTCATGGAAGGTGCCTATTTCGGGTAATCCCTTACATATTCTGTTTACCAAACTTAAGAGGTTGAAAGAGCCTCTTCAAAGGCTTAGTAAAAAATGTTTCATTGATATTTCCAAGAGAGTTTTTGAAAAGCAACTTGAGCTTGCTAATGTTCAAAAGTTATTGATGGCTAATCCTACTGTGGAAGTTATTGGGAAGGAAAAGAAAGTTACAGAGGAGTTAGGGGCGTTGATAGAACAGAAGAAATCTTTTTTAAGCAGAAGTCTCAGATCCAATATGTTCAGGAGGGTGATCAAAAGTCTATTTTTTTCTCGCGACAAGTTAGTATTAGGCAGAAACTAATTCTATTCATGTACTTAAAGACAACCAGGGTAATAAGGTGGATACTTTGGAAGCTATTGCAACTAATTTAGTCCAGTTTTTCTCAAATTCCTTATGTTCTACTGATGAGTTGGTGGAATTGGTCCCTGATGGTTTACTGAGGGAGATTTTGGGAGTGGAGTTGACCGCTGATATGCAGAATTCGTTGGTTGATCCTATTACTCTAAAGGAAATTAGAGATGTTGTGTTTGCTATGAACGGAAAGAAGGCTTCGAGTTTAGATGATTATTCTGCAAAAAAATTTTAAGTTTCTTGGAGGATTGTAGGGGAGGACTTCTTGAAAGTGGTACAATACTTTTTTTATTATCTCTCTTCATAATGCTTTCAATTCATTACAAAAATTCTGGCTAATAGGTTAAAGCGGTGATTGCCTTCTTTAACTCTGCCTAATCAAATTGATTTTTTAACTGGTAGAGATTAGTGGAAGATGTTATGTTAGCTCATGAAATTGTGAATGGTTATGGAAGGAAATGTTTGTCTCCTAGCATTGAAGACTGATTTAAGGAAAGTTTTTGACTATATTAACTGGGGTTTTATCTCTCAGATTCTAAGGATGATGGGATTTCTAAAACAATTTAGGGGGTGGGTTTGTGCTTGTATAACTAGGTCTAAGTTCTATGTGTGCTTAAACGGGGGTTGGCATGGAGGTATTGATTTCCACCCTAAATATAGAAAGATTGAGTTAACTGAAGTTTGTTTTGATGATAACCTTTTGATTTTTACAAAATAGAATCTTTCTTCTGCTATGGCAGACCAAAATGTGTTGGAAGTGTTTCGTAGGATGTCAGAGCTACAGATGAATGCAACTAAGAGTGAATTGTTCTGTTATGGTATAGAGATTTCTGATATTCGAAGTCTTATTGAGGTATCCGAATTTAGTATTGGTTCATTGCCGGTGAGCTATGTGGGTGTTCCCCTTGTTACTAAGAACCTTTCTTATGTAGACTGTGAGGGTTTAGTGGGAAAAATAGTGAGAAGAATTAGGAGTTGGTCTGAGAAATGTCTTTCTTTTGCTGGTAGGTTACAACTCATTTAGACAGTGATTTTTAGTGTTCAAAACTTTTGGTGTAGGATTTTTTTTTGCCTAAGAATGTCTTAAAACAAGTTATAAGGTTTGTGCTACTTTTCTTTGGAAATACAATGATATTTCTACTCATGGGGCTAGAGTTAGTTGGGAGATAATTTGTCATCCTAAATGTGAAGGGGAACTTGGGGTTAAGGATATCTTCATCTAGAATAAGGCTTGTGTAATGAAGTGTTTATGGTTGATTTTATTCCAGTCCAGTTTTCTTTGGATGTCTTGGGTGGATAAATATTTGTTAAAAGAGTTGTATTATATGGCAATTCCAAGTTAAGGCTAGTCATAGTTGGGTTTGGAAGAAATTGATTCGGCTTAAAGATGATCTGGCCCTTGTTGGTAATTTGCAGGAGGGAGGCAAGATAGGCCTGGGAGTTATATAGGCACAAATAGGGCAAAGTGCCTGGGTACAGAATCATTAGGGGGTGGTTATTCCCCGTCATTCTTTTATTGCTTGGTTAGTAGTTGAAGATAGATTACCAACTAGGAGTAGGATGATAAGATGGGGCTGTCAAGTTAATCCTCTATGCTTGTTATGTGGAGATGTTTTAGAAACGCATGATCATCTATTTGCTGAGTGTTGCTATTCCAGTCAAGTTCGACAGTTGATTTTACGGGCTTATGGTTATTCTGTTTCCCATAAGTATTAGATAGTTTTGCTTGATTGGCTGTAAAGATTTGGGAAATAAAGGTATTTGAGGGCTGCTATTATCCACATCGATTGGTGTGCGTTTAGTTACGGTGAGAACAACTTTGGAGCCAAACCATCTCTTTGCTGGCTTCCGTAACAACGACATATTCTGTTTCAGTTATGGTGAGAACAACTATCTTCTGTAGTTAAGAAACCCAACTCACTGCAGTTCCTCCTAGAGTATAGACATACCCTGTAGTGCTCCTTCTGATGTCAACATTTACGGCTAAGTTAGTATCTACATAGCCTGTCAGTATCGTATCTCCACCTTTGAAACAAAGTGCTTTGTTTTGTAGTACCCCGCAGATATCTGATGATCCATTTGACTGCTTTCCAGTGTACATTGCCCGAATTATTCATGTACCTGATAACAGCTCCCACTGCATGAGCAATATCTGGTATGGTACAAACCATGGCATACATCAGACTTCCAATTGTTGAGGCATACGACACCTTCACCATGTGTGCACGTTCTTCCTCCGTCTTTGGTGATTGTTCTTTGTAGAGTCTAAAATGAACACCTAAAGGTGTACTTACTGGTTTAACATCTTGCATGTTAAACCTGGAGAGTACTTTGTTGATGTACTCAGCATGTGATAACATCAAAATCCTCGACTTTGTGTCACTCTTAATCCTCATCCCAAGAATATGTTTTGCAGCACCCAGATCTTTCATTGCAAACTGCTTCGACAATTTTTGCTTCAAGTTTATAATCTCTTGCATGTCTAAGCCTACAACGAGCATGTCATCAATATACAACAATAAAATAATAAAGCTGTTGTCGAACTTTTTTGATGTAGCAACAATGATCTGCTTGACATCTGGTAAAACCACTGTTACTCATGAAACTATTAAACTTTTTGTACCACTGTCTATGAGCTTGTTTTAAACCATACAAACTCTTCTTCAACCTGCATACTAGGTTTTTCTTACCTGCCTCTATGAAGCCTTCTGGCTGCCTCATATAGATTTCTTCCTCCAAATCACCATGAAGGAAAGTTGTCTTTACATCTAACTGCTCAAGATGTAAATTCTCTGCAGCTACAATTTTCAACACCAGTCTGATTGTAGACAGTTTTACAACTGGAGAGAAAATTTCATTGTAGTCAATACATTTTTTTTTCTAAAAAACTTTGACAACCAATCTTGCTTTGTAGCGTTTGCTCCCATCATGCTCTTCTTTGATCATGTAAACCACTTGTTGTGGAGCGCTTTCTTTCCTGGTGATAATTCAACTAATTACCACGTCTGATTTGACATAAGCGAGTCCATCTCATCTTTCATGGAAGACTCACACTTGACTAAATCCTCCACCTGCATTGCTTCATTCGTAGCACTCTGGTTTACCATTGTCAGTCAGCAACAAGTAGTGCAAAGAAGGCGAATAACACTGGGTTGGTTTAGAAATTCTGGAGGAGCGTCTCAGTTCTGGTGTGCTTGGTTCTTCAACTGCTTCAGGATTGATCTGAACATCATTTCCAGAAATCTCCTCGAACTCAGCAAATTCATTTGTTTCAGCTTCGGTATTGGAGCTACTTGATTTTATGGTTGACATGTCTTTGTACATCACATTCTCATTGAAAATGATATCTCTGCTTCTGATGATCTTCCGATTTTCGTAGTCCCAAAACAGGTAACCGAACTCATCACCACCATAACCAACAATGACACATTTGTTGGACTTGGCGTCAAGTTTACTTATTTCAGCAGAATTTATGTGTACATAAGAAATACAACCAAACACTCTTAAGTGTGAAAGGTTTATTTCTTTTCTTCTCCAAGCTTTCTCTGGTATTCCACCATCCAAGGGAACTGAGGGCCCATGGTTGATCAGGTAAGCTGAAGTGTCGATAGCTTCAGCCCATAGCAATTTGGGCAATCTGGCATGTATCCTCATGCTTCTGGCACGTTCATTCAGAGTTCTGTTCATGCGCTCTGCTACGCCATTATGTTGCGATGTCATGGGAACTGTTGTCTCCATCTTGATCCCATTGTTTGTGCAGAAATCTCTGAATCTACTATTTTTGTACTCTCCTCCATTGTCAGACCTCAACCGCTTGACTTTCAAACCAGTCTCATTTTTCACCATGATCTTCCATTTTCTGAAGGTATCAAAGACTTCTGATTTCTTCTTCAGAAAATAAACCCACACATTCCTTGTTGAATCATCGATGAAGGTGACATAATATAGTGAGTCTGCAAGAGATGGAACTGGAGATGGTCCACATACATCAGTATGAACAAACTCTAATTTTTCAGCCTTGGTTATCTTGCCAATCTTTGCAAAACTGACTTTATTTTGTTTGTCAAAGATGCAATCTTCACATAGTCCGACATCTACGTTCTTTAGATCCGACAGATTCCCTTTTGACAAAAGTGTCTTCATCCCTTTCTCGCTCATATGGCCAAGCCTTTGGTGCCATATGTTTGATTTTTCATCAGTATCTGCTACTACAATGATGTTCTCTAAATTTGAGGTTATATAGAGAGTACCAGTCTTCTTACCACGAGCAATGACGAGTGCTCCTTTGGTAATCTTCCATTCACAGCCTGAAAAGGTTGTGCTATATCCTTTCCATCAAGCTGTCCTACAGAAATCAAATTTCTTTTAAGGCCAGAAATATGTCTCACTCCTTTCAGCGTCCAAGTGGTCTGGTTTGGCAACTTTAATCGGATGTCTCCTTTTCTGATGATCTTCAAGGTTTCATCATCAGCTAGATGAACCTTCCCAAAATCACCACTGGCATAGTTCTCCATGATTTCTTGGCATGGGGTGGAGTGTAAAGATTCCCCTGCATCCAAGATCCATGATTTAATCGGACTGTTGACGCTTAAAATCATGGCATCACCTGTCTCCTTTGTCATGTTGGCAGATTCCTGTACGCCAGTATCTTTCTTTGGTGCTCGACATTCTCTTTTAAAGTGACCCTTCTTGCCGCAATTATAATAGGTATAATATTTCTTTCCCGTTCTTGATTTTCCCCTTCTGGATTTGGATCTGCCACGATTTAAATTTCTTTCTGAAGTTCTCCCTCTAGACTCCGTGTGTAAGGCTGAGGAGGTTGATGCTTCACCCGATTCTCTTCGTAGAATTTTTTCACTCAATATCAAATCCCGAACATCGTCGAATTTTAATTTGTTGTGTCCCGACGAGCTGCTGACTGCTATAACAGTAGCATTCCAACTGTCTAGTAGAGATTAAAAGATAATTAAAGCTCGAACTTCATCATCAAATTCAATTTCCACTGAACTCAACTGGGTTGTGATTGTGTTGAGTTCATTTAGGATTTGTGCCACCGATGGCCCTTCCACCATCCGCAAATTGAATAATCGCCTCATCATATGAACTTTGTTTGAGGCCGATGGCTTCTCATACATACTGGAGAGAGCCACCATAAGACCCGCCATGGTATTTTCCTTTGCTATATTAAAAGCAACATTGCGGGATAACGTCAGTCGGATAACTCTGAGGGATTGTCTAGAAGAGCCCAGTTTTCATTCTTCATGCACTTTGGTTGCTTTCCTAAGAGGGGTTGATATAGATTTTTCTGGTACAGAAAATCTTCAATCTGCATATTCCAAAAGCCAAAGTTCGCACTATCGAACTTTTCAATTTTCACATTCCCTTCGTCTGCAGTCATCGCTCCCACTCGAATATGGCTTCGTTTGGATCGTTTCTGACAATTCTTGCGAATCACCGTGTATTAGAACACCTCCGTCGACAAATTCGTATCGTCGATAATTTTTTTACTATTTATGTGAATAGTAACCTCGCAAAAATTGACAAAATTGACAACCAAAAGCTCTGATTACTAGTTGTTAGGAAATAAACCGAGTACGAGTAATTTTTCTATAACCAGATTAGTGAGAATGCGAAATACAAGCGGAAAAATAATACTCGAAATTGATAACGGAGTTCAGCTAATTGTGCTTACGTCTCCGGACTGCTGCAGATCTTTTACTAAGAGAGAAAATTTACAGGTGTTTATAAAACACTCACTACTCACAAGAAAACTCTCTAGTATTGGGAGAAAGAAATGATTTAGGATGATTTTGAAGCTAAATAGGATATGATATTTATAGTTGAAGCTTGAAGACTAATCTTATAAATACCTTAAAATTCAATGACTCAATTTGATGATTAACCCTTGCTCAAATTCAATAAAATGGGATGTCAAACTTTGAAATCAAAGCAGTCCATTTATTCAAAACAACCCCAATTTATTCAAAAAAACCGGTGGCTTTGATTTTCAACATATTTGGCAAGAATGGTGGTTAGTATACGTCAATGTCCTGATATTTTTTCTTTGATTAAAATTGATACTAGGCTAAGGCTTTTTGGATATCGAAGAGTTTCTAGTTTTGATATTTCTTTAGTTGATGAATGGGGTTTTAGTCTTTGCCCTGTTTGCAATGTTTTGGTTTTCTGGTGAGGGAAATAAAGAAAAGTTCTCTTTAACATAGAGCCGAGTCACAGGCTCACAGCGAATACGATACCGATCTGACGCGAACGAGTCAATGGAAGGAGTGGGGGCTCGATTCGGGCGGTCCTCCACCCGGTACGGACCAGCCACGGTGCTCACTGGGCCGGTCAGGAAATGGAAGAAGAAATGGGTCCACGTTTTCCCATCTAACACTGGCAGCAGCAACAACAATAATCCCTCTCAAAATAACAATAATAATCACCACAGCACCAACGGTATTTCTAACGGTAATAACGGCTCTCATCTCGTGCTTTTTAAATGGACCCCTTTATCACAAAGCCAAAACAACAACAGTAGCCCCAACGATTCTTCCAAGGACGATGACGTGGCGTCTCCCGAGGAGCCTCCGAGGCGGAAATTTAAAGACATCCTTGTATTCTCTTCCTTGGGTGTTCATCAATGTCGAATTTTCCTTCTCATTTTACCTTGTTTTAACTGAAGTCAGTTTCTTGGTGTTTTTTTTGTTGTTGCTGGAATTTAGGATTTTATTATGCTGTGTCTTCTGTATAATTGGTTGATCTGTTAGCTGGGTTTTGGTTTGATAATGCTCCGTGTTTCTTCAAGGGAACTATGAGTTGGCTTGCTGTTAAGTGCTTTAATGTGTGTGGAAAGATGTAAATGGTTTATAAGGGAATTTTATTGATAAATGACTGAAAATTTAGCATATAAATGTTTGTTCTTCGCTACTATGCTACTCGAATTTAGGTGTGAGTACCCAATTTGGATATGTATTTTACACGAGTACGGTTAGATTTTTCCAAGTTTTTCCATATACCGGGAAGACGTATACTCGAATCCATGTGTCAAACATGTGCATTTCAAGAAGAATGAAGAGTCCGAGCAACATATGAAGAGTTTGAGCAACATCGGTTCACTATAGTTTGGCATGGCCTTGATGCATTGGAGTTTCCATTTCTGCTTCACTCGTCATAATTTCTTCCTAGAACCATAGCTTCCTTATCAGCTAAGCTTTAATTCGATAGCTAATTTTGAAAATTATCCATAAGGGTACAAAGTTGAGCTGCTTGCCATCCTTATGCTCTTAGATCGAGTCCGAAGTCTGGAAAGCTTTGAAACCAATAATTTGATGATAGTGGAACTGTTGGAGTGGAGGTGGAAAGGGAAGAGGACCGAGACTAGCATCTCATTTCTTTTACTCTGACTAATTAAACTCAAATGGCACCATATGCAGTTGCTTTAAGTTGAACACGGTTGTTGTAATGCTTAGACCTATCTGATCTAATCTAGTATGTCTCTCTGCTCTTGTTCATATCAACCGCCGAGAATGGGTGCTTTTGTCTGCCTATTGTGATTTCTTTTTAAGTTTTTGATTGGATAATCCGGATATGCTAACATTCACAGGTTTGTCAAATTGCTTCGTATAACAATTCTAGGTGGAAATAAGTTATAAGATCATTTCAGATTGTTAGATTGTATACTTATTTTGACTGTTTGAACATGTAGATTGTTGTGCTAGAGGAACAGAACATGGAAGCTGCTGAAACGTTGATGATGAAGCTAAACCGAGTGAGGATGACGCTAGTGCTGCAGAGCCAACTTCCAGGAATGATGGTTTTGACGAAAAACCGGACATTAACTACACACCGATGGATGAAAGTCAGGTGAGCAGCAAACTCTCATTCTACACTCATTCAGTCATTTGAAAGGGAGGCTGGGGGGATTGGGACAGGACCTGCAGGTCCTTGTCGTTTAAGTTCTTTAAGAAACTAAAACGTAAACATGAATGATAAATGAGTTCTTTAAGAAACTAAAACGTAAAACATGAATGATAAATGACATCTCTATCGCACTGATTCATAGAGAAGGTTTAATTTTAACCCCAATTTTCTGTCTCAGGAGGAAAATAAAATAGTGCGGCAAGATCTGAATGAAAGCAAGTTGGATTTGAGTTTGGGTTGAACGGCAAACGATGGCAAGTCTGATTCGGAAACAAATCGCAATGCAGAATTGGAAAGAGCGAAATCGGGTAGCAGTTTGGACATGATTGAGTATAGCCTTGCAGGTGGTTTCAGGAAATAGATGCGATGATAAGTAGACATCAGCCTTCTTGTTTTAAGCGTTCTTCCTAGAGTTTCAATAGGACAAATTCTTGATGACATTGGTAGGTAGCCTATGCTTGTAGGGCTTTGAATTAAAACCCTTGGAAAGTGAGGGAAGAAAGAAACATTGTTATCAAATTACAAATTTGCACAGCAGATAATGCTTGAACAATTCTATTGCTCAGAATATTAATCATAAGTAAAACAAGAAGGCAAAATGACTGATATTTGCCCAAGAACACTAAACCAAGCGTTACTTGGAAAATGGGTGTGGAAATTCGGCAGTGGGTCAGATTCATCGTGGAAAAATGTAATATGCAGTAGATATAATTTGGATCCTCAGTCATTATTTTTGACTAATTGCATTTTCAAACAGGCCTCGTGGTTATGGAGAGCGATTGTTGAGAATTATACGAAAGAAGACAGGTTTGGAATGTGTTATCAAAGCCATATTAAGTGGAGACCGTTGGCTAGACAATACCCCTTTGAAGTCTCAATTTCCCAGAATTTTCTCTCACTGAGTAAGGATGGGAAGATAGAAGAATATGGAAACGTTAATTCAGCGTGTTGGGTTTGGAATATCCGGATGAGAAGGAACCTAGCGGATTGGGAACTAAATCAGTGGGTAAACTTAATGACTCTATTATCCAGTGTGAGTCCTGTTTTGGATGCTAAAGATGGTATGATTCGGATGGGGAATGGTGAGAGATGCTACTTAGTAATGAGGGAGATTGGCATTGTGGACTAAGCTACGTTTGGAAGGGACCGGTTCCTCCAAGGGTGGAGACACTGTTGTGGCAAGTAGCTCTTCAGAAGGTGGCAGTTAAATTGAAGATGATCAAAAGAGGGGTCATAGCGGTGGAAAATGTGCTATGTCCTCTGTGTAAATCGTGCCTCGAAACAGTCTCCCGCCTACCTGTTCTTTCTTGTGTTATATCTTGGGGTCTCTGGAATTATTTGATTAGTTTTTAGGGTTTATCAGTGGTCATTCCGGAGGATCTTATTTCCCTCCTGACATAATGGGATAGTATAATTCCTAAATCTAATATGTGGCCATTTATCCCGGGGTAGTTATCTGGTCAATTTGGAAATATAGGAACTCATTGGTTTTCGACAATGGATCAGATGATTCTATTTCTTTATACTTCGTAGCAAGATATTGTTTGGCCTCCTGGTTTGTAGCTAAGTTCCCTATTTCTAGATTGAGTCTGGATCCTTTGATTTGCGATCCCTTACTAGTAAATTCAAGTCCGTTGTGGAGGCAGCCTGCTGCTCCTTCTGTTTCTTGGTCTCATCCTCCTCCAGGCTATTACAAGGTAAATGTTGATGGTGCTGTTAATTTGGACTGGGAAAAGGGTGGTATTGGCAGACTGGTAAGAGATTCGTGTGGTCAAACTTTGGGCTCCTCAATTCCAGTTAGTCCGGTCCCTTCAGTTTTTGCAGAACTAAAAGCTGTTAAAGAGGGTATTATCATTGGAACTTCGTCCAGTGGTTGTAGATTTGGTCAACTAATTTTGGACTACGATTGTAGCAACGTTGTTATGTGGATAAAGGATCCTTCAGGATGCCCTGCTCCTTACGTTAGTTTAGCAAAGGAGATAGGTTCTATAATTCGTAGAGATGATATTACCATCAAGGTGATTAGTAGGTGCCCAATTGGGAAGCCGATGACTTAGCTAAAAAGGGAATAGGATAGTTTGGGTATGGTTGGGGTTTTATATATGTAGTTGTTTCAGGGTTTGTAAGGTTTTATGTTTTTGTAAGGTTATTATAGACTATTTGTTGTATTTTTGGGCCATTTAAGCCAATTTTATAATAAAATGAGGTACCCTTTTCCCCTTCTGCTTTTTACCAAACACTCCGGGGATTGGTAATTATGAAAGAGGGTTTTTTAGTGAGACATCCTATACTTATAAAAAAAAATTGCCCAAGAAAAAAAGGACTTGGCAGATTTGATCATCATTTGTTTACAATATCCGGAACTGGCTTTTCCTCAAGATTAAAGGCGTAATGCAATATAGCGATTCCATCATAATGGATTTTAAGTTCATCAGGACACTATAATATCATAGTAACGGGGAAGAGGGGAAAATTGTTGAAAAGTCAACATTTGTAGGCTAATTTCGGTGGAAATTGTTGGGAAACTTTCGGTGAAAGTGGTGCATTTATTGCACCGAATTCAAGCTTGAATTTGTTGAAAAAATGAAAGGGAAAATACAAATTTTAGTCATTGTAATTTAGGGTATTTACAAATTAGTCCTTAAGCTTCAACTATAAATACCCTAGCTCATTTAGCTTCAAAACCATCCCAAAGCATTCTAGCTTTCTTCCAATACTAGAGAGAATTTAGATAGTTTCTTGAGAGTTGTTTTCTCTTTTTTATCAAGAGAGAATTATCATTTTTTTCTCCTTGGTAGATCGAGAGAAGTTGTAATTCATATTTTCTCATAGTGAAATTTTTCTATTGTTGCCCGTGGTTTTTACCCTATATTATTTAGGGGTTTTCCACGTAAATTTTGTGTCTTTTTTATCTTTATTTTTATTTTCTCAAATTATTAGTTGCAATTTTGCTCTATCCGATAGCCGTCTTCCGCAACAATTGGTATCAAAGCCAGATTTGAGTGTGTAATATATGCTTATTTTCTTTGTGGTTGCCACCAAAAGGTGGATCCTCCAACATAAGAAAGTAAGAAGGTATTACCCATTCTTTGAAGGTTCCATAGAACTATTCATGATAGTGAAATAGTGGGAGCTATCTGTAATAGAAGTTATGACAACGAAATTTGATATTGAAAATTCAATAAGAGAAATTTCTCATTGTGGAAATTGAAGATGAAAGCTATCCTGAGGAAAGACGGTTATCTAGCAGCTATCAGTGAAAGGTCAGTAGATTTCACAGATGACAACAAATGGATTGAAATGGACGGGAATGCTATGACAAACTTTCATCTAGCATTAGCAGATGAAGTATTATCAAGCATCGAGGAGAAGAAGACAGCTAAGGAGATATGGGATCATCTCACCAAACTGTACGAGGCCACATCACTGCACAATAAAATTTTCCTTAAGAGAAAATTGTACACTCTTCGTATGCCAGAATCTACTTCAGTGACGTATCACTTAAATACACTAAACACTTTATTTTCTCAGCTTACATCCTTAAGCTGTAAAATATGAGAACAAGAACGTGCTGAACTTCTACTTCAAAGTCTACCGGATTCGTATGATCAACTCATCATCAACTTGACAAACAGTAATGTCACCAGTCTAGTCTTCAATGACGTTGCAGCTGCTGTTTTACAAGAAGAAAATCGACGCAGGAACAAGGAAGACAAACAAGTAAATCTACAACAAGCAGAAGCGTTGACAACGATGACAACGATGAGAGGGAGATCAACAGAACGTGGCCAAAGCATCAGTCACAAACATGGTAAATTGAATTCGAGGAGCAAGAAGAATTTAAAGTGTTATAACTGTGGAAAGAAGGGTCACTTGAAGAAGGATTGTTGGAGTC